AAATTCATGAAACAGTAATTCAATAAAATTTTGAATGCGGGTCAACAAATGAAATGACATGGCCTGTCACTCATCTCGAAAGGGTTAAAAGACTGATCAATCAGAACACCAAGATCTTTTTCTTCCATAATACTGTTAGTTATTCCCGTCAAAATTCTCCTCATATTTCAAATTGTGATATCCCACCCATATTACCTAGCAATAATCTATATACTACTAAAACGCTGAGATAGTTTGTTTGCTTGTCTGTAATTAAATACAGCAAAAATGGTGCACAATAGTGCCATATTTGTATTGAAATGAGAATAGGAACAGAATAAAACAAGTTTCATTAAAATTGGGCCACGGGTTACAGATTTAGCCATTTTTCGGGTCACAAATTAAATACAGCAAAAACAGTGCACAATAGCACCATATTTGTAATGAAAATAGAAACAAAATAAAACAAGTTTCGTTAAAATTGGGCCACGGGTAACCCAGTTAGCCCTGTCTTTCGGGTCACTTTTATGAACATTTCTAGATGAATTTAGGTACCAGAGGTGGTGCCACATATCAGTTTATCTATCTATCTATTTGTTTTCCACCTGATGAATCACTTTAAATATCTTCTATACAGCAATATATGCACAAAAGAAATTAAATGATGAGATGAAAATGTGTTATAACGGGGCATAGAAAGAACAACAATAAAATGGACCTAAAATATTATTGTCTATTTGCAAATAGTAGCTATGGAGACGAGGTAATAAAATAAAAATCAAGTCGAGAACAACAACATAATTTTATAAACGAAAACCTGTTGCCGAGTATTGGCTATTATATTATTTCCCTGTCGATGTTCCAATCTTCATTAAAATGCGTAAGATGACAAAAACAAGATCTTGAAGAATCTATCTATATACTACTAAAACTCTGAGATTGTTTGTTTGTTTGCTTATTTTCTCAGTCAAAAAAATCATTCACACTATTGTTCGCACTCTTTACGAAACTTCTTACTTCACTTTTTTGAAAAATGAAATGGTCTTACCTTTTACTCCCGATCAACAATCAAATATCTTTTCTTGAATTATGAATAACATGAATGGATTGAAATATTTAATTAAATTATCTCAAAATAAACCTTTATTTCGGTGCAATATTGAAATTAGCTTGAATTCTTCATAACCTCTGAATAGTGGTTGACCAAATGGGTCACTTTTATGAAAATTTCTAGCATGAGTAATTTTACATCACACTACCATTCGCGCTCTTTATGAAACTTCATTGGGCCACGGGTTACCGAGTTAGCACTGTTTTTCGGGTCACTTTTATGACAATTTCTAGCATGAGTAATTTTACATCACACTACCATTCTCGCCCTTTACGGAACTTCTTCATTCAAATCTATTTCCCTGTCAATTCTCCCATCTTCATTAAAATGCGTAAGATGACAAAAAAAAGATCTTCAAGAATTTCTCAATAATGTGCCTTGGTTATGGTAGGTAATTAGAAAAAAAATAAGGTGTTACTGTTTCTTATTTGTAGAAGGTTTAAGAGGAAAGACAACAACATAATGAACTAATTCATCACAATTCATGAAAACCCTGACTTCACTTTTTTGAAAAATGAAATTGTCTTTCTTTTTACTCCCGATCAACAATCAAATATCTTTTCTTGAATTACGAATGACACAAATGGATTGAAATATTTAATTAAATTATCTCAAAATAAACCTTCATTTTGGTGCAATATTGTAATTAGCTTGAATTCTTCATAACCACTGAATTGTGGATGACCCAACGGGTCACGAGTAGTCTAGTTATAATTAAAAATCATCTGCAATTTATTCACCCAACTCATTAAATAATCCAAATTTTATTGTAAGGCAGTAGCATCCTCCTCACAACCAACATCACCTAAAACTTTATTGTCATCAGCAAATTTAAATAATCAATTTACCATTCCTTCAGCTATGTCATTGATGTAATTCAAAAAGAGCAAAGGTCCTAACACAGAGCCCTGAGGTACCCCACTCGTGAAATTAATCCAGTTTGACTGAACTCCATTTATGACAACCCTCTGCTTTCTTCCATCCAGCCACTCTTCTATCATATTTCCTAACTTATCCCCTCCACACCTGTAGAGATTTTTTTACAAGCCTTTTATGTGGCACCTTGTCAAATGCTTTCTGAAAATCTATATACACCAAATCTACACCCTTACCCACATCTACATAAGCAGTAACCTTTTCAAAGAATGTTAAAAGATTAGTAAAAACCACTTTTCCCCTAGTGTAACCATGCTGATTATCCAACAAAATTTTAAACTTTGTTTAATGACTTTACAAAGCATCTTTTATCACTTTCAAAACATTTTCCATCATTGATGCAATACTAATAGGCCTATACTTACTGGGACAATTTTTAGCACCTCCCTTGAAGAGATGGGTAACATTAGCCACCTTCCAGTCTTGTGGCACCAGCCCATTATTTGAGGACTAAGCAAAAATAATAGCAAGTGGCTCACATATCCAATCCTTAACTTCTTAACTTAGGTAAATATTATCTCGAGCAGAAACTTTATCATTCTTTAAATTTCCCATTTTTTTCTCTAAATTAATTGACCATCTCATTCAATCTTGTTTCTATCTAGCAACTGTTTAGATTGAGGAATATTGCTTAACTCTCTGTTAAAAACTGAAAAAAAGTAGAATTTTAA